AGTTTTTGAAGGCACCGAGGAAAGTTTGATTAGACCTAAATTATTCATGATATATCGTGCGACCGATGCGAGTTGAATAATATCGATCAGCAATAAAGCGCGCGCGCGCGTGTGTCTTTCTCATAAATAATTTAGCCCCCTGCTCCGTTTACGAAATCGGCTTTTAGCTTTGTCGTACGTGAAATGCGGTTCAATGTCGCACGTGTAACGGTCATTGTATTTTACAACAATATCTTCACTTTTGTCAGGAAACTAACCGCGCTCGGTCTTGCACCATTGGCGTTAGATTTAGCAGGGTGCAGAGTATTTGCTAAGTGTGGCTATTTTTAAATGTACATTTCGCATTATAATCGGAGCCTCTGAGAATCCAACTTAGGTATATGTCTATCGATTGATATAAAGCTAAAACCTACGATTCTCGTTTCCCTTCTTTCTTTCTAGACCGCTAAGATAGATATATTAGCATTTGTCAGTTATTATATATTTTTTAAATTTATTTTTATTTGCAATCAATTTTTCTAAACCATTTATCGACGCTTATTTATAGCAGTTACTTTGCATGCCGTAAGAGAAAGAGGTATGGAAACTCTTTTAAACAGAACATTTTATATATATAGAGTATATGTTATAACGATATCTTAAGTCCTATAACGGCAAATTTTTAAATGTATCTAAAAATAATCAGTGTTATAAAATTTTTCGTATATATTACTTTTGAAGGCGGATATCTGGAGTTTGTTATCTATTGAGGGATATTGAAAGAATATTGGATGGCAATTAGAGGTAAACTTGATAAGCATCAACCGATTTGATTAGCTGCGCGATGCGATTCGTTGATTCGGCTCGTAAAAGTTAAATCATTCAGCGTAATAAAGTTGGTTTGGTAATGCACAATTACACAACACATGGCAAACATTAGGAAGTGAATCATTTATTATTTTCTTGGGTGTACAAAGGCTTTATCCCATTATATTTTCTGTATACCAAGATAAATTTAGTTGGTGTCTATCTAAAAGTATGTTTATCGGTACTTTCTCTCGATACTGGTATCAAATATCGATAATATCGATAATTGATTCCGACATGATCCACAGACTATTTGATGGAAGTTGCACCAAAGTAGGGAGATGTCCGGCTTGTGTGTCGTCTATAATGCAAGTGGGTGCGCTAACATGGGGGTCGCGGTGTATCAATGTGCTTATGCACATTATTAGGTACACCATGCACCGTGCGAAGACGAGAGACGAGACAAGACGAGACTACATAAGACGAGACGAGACGAGATATGAAAGAGAAAGAAGGAGAGAGAACACGTATAGCCGGTGGTGCCCTACTTGGGTATTGATCCGTGACAGTGGGAGGCGCTCGTTAGAGATGGCTAGGTCGTAGGTCGCATGCGCGTTTCCACCGATGATTCCGTGTCGCCATCATCGACCCGCGGCTCGAGAGAAATAGAGCCGAATCGGTGAGAAACGCTAGAGAGAGAGAAAGAGAGAGAGAGAGAGAGAGAGAGAGAGAGAGAGAGAGAGAGGATGGCAGAGGGTGGAAGAAAAAAAACGGTAAAATGGGTAGGCGGAAACGAGGAAAGTGGAACGAAATGTAAAACATGGAAGGAAAGAGAGGGATGAATAACCATGAAAATTATCATCCGGTTATGGCTGAATGGTACGGTACCATCACCCTGGCAAACTGCTTAACTGGCAAATAGATAGCGGATCACCCTTTAAAATCGCGCTTCGAATACGGGCATTTCGTGCTCGAAATTCTCGACAACTTTAGGTGATAACAGAGAGTGAAAGGGATTTAAGTCTACCGCAATATGGTGACGGTCTGTTATTAAAATAGATTGAGCTCTTTGTAAGAATTACAAAGAAAAGCCTGATTTTATTTTATATTTATGTAGATAAAAAGACTATTTGTGTAGAAAACATGTATACGCGTTAATAGTATGTATCGATAATAGTAGAGCGCGATACGTAAAAAACCGCACTTAAATTTCTCTATCATAGATTAACGAATCTCTCACGCTGCGGAGGGTTTGAACATGTTTCAAGTCGATCCTGGCGATGACACGCGACGTCGACCCGCATGCGGCGCCGTTACTGCCGCGTCGCGATTGCTGTCGACGCCGTCGACGCCGTCGTCGCGGTCGCCGCCGGCGCCGCGGCGCGATCGTTGAAAGTTAATCCTTAATGCCTTAAGTCAATGCCTCTATGCAGCTGTAAAAGAAATATCGTGCACTCGTTTCTTTCGAATCAATTTCAAGAATTTATGTAGGATACGCTCCGTTAAATCTAATTGTGCCTAATTTGAAAAGATGAGACTAGACGAGATAAGTGGTTTTTTTATTTTGCTAACTGGGTTTGCAATGCTTTCTCTCAAAATAAAAGTAAAAATACAAATAAAAATGAAAATAAAATTATTTAGGATTGTTGATTAATTATAGGATGTGACTTATTATTAGAAGTTAAAAAGACAGAATATTATATGTTTAATTGTAAACGAGCGTGAATCGACATAAATAAATAAATTTCTCGAAAGAAAGCGAACGCCGCGGTGCCGCCGTACTGACAATTTATCTTTCACACAGATTTTTTTTTCGTATATAGAAAATATAGAATTTACAGAGCAGAATTCAGTTGGCATCAAATGGCATTGTTAAATTCTTGCTTTGTATGACGCTTGTCCTCGTTTCGTGGCATGAAAATATGCAATACGAAACGGAGAGCACAGAGTGCGAATTCATATCAAGGGCTACATAACGAACGCGGTCCTAGAACGCGATCTAATCGCCGAGACCCGACGCGTTTTCCTGCCCGTTGCGTCGCGTCGCGTCGCGCGTCGCGGCAAAGCTCGACCACTTCCGCTTCTAGCGAGCCGGCTCTGCAACTCGACCCGTGAACTCGTAAATGATACCGACCCGCGCAAATTTGCATAAGGTCGAAATCGCGTTCATCCTGCATCTATTACGGAGACGTATGCTCTTCGGTGCGAAACCACTCACTGGGGTGAGTTTCTAGTTTCTACTAGTTTCTATAGAGTAAATTTCCTAAAAACTTGAGAAAAATTCCGAATCAGTCTCTGCAATGTTTTTAAATTAATTTCTATTTAGCAGGAAGGAAAGAGGAAGAAAGTGAAATTAATTTTGCAATTTGATACAAGTGTTTAATATGCCGAATAAATTTGATTTGAAGATCAAGTTGAGAAAATGTTGTTTTGTGTTTATTCATCTTGGATTTTTATCAATGTACTTTACGCAACGAATGATGGCGCGTTTGCGCGCCATCGTAGACGCGATTGTGCGTGTGCGTGTGCGTGTACGTACGGACAATCAGCGAGGTGCGTATGTGACCTGTAAAATTGCATAATCGTGCTTCCTCAATGGCGACGTGAGCGAGAGCGACGATGGGCCAGAGATAATGATACCTATGAAATTGATCGTTTACGTATACGGACCAGACGGCAGACCGGACGCGTAACGCACAAAGTCAGAGTTACGTTTTTACGATCGTAACCGTCGATTTGCCGACTCTCTCCTCTCCTCTCTCGTCGGTCTTTTATCTAATCGCTGCAACGACCATAACGAATCGCCGCGCGCCGTGACAGAATTAACGGCCGCGCGCGCGTGGCAATTGCGCTCGTGTAAGTGCGTCCGCGTCACGAGTCTCGCGTTTCGTTAGTTAGTCCATCCGGTACGTGAGAATATCGTTGGTTTTCATGGTCGAGACTCGAGACGATAGCGTTGGAAGATACCACTACGTTACGCGATAAGTTACACATTCGTCATCAATAACTGGCTCAATGTTTAATATTCTTCGGAAATGTTTCAAGATCCAAATTACGATACAAATTAATGCACGGTCAAAAGTAAGGCGATGCATCTTTGATTCGCTCACTTGGCGTTTGCTTTCGATTTTTATACTTGTTTTTCTTTATTAATATGTATTACAAACCTAACTATATGCAAGCAATTTGTCACTTGTGTTGTTTTTCAACTGGTCTCGTAAATTCGTGTTATGTTTAGTCATCTGCGCAGAATTTTAGCGATAGGAAAATTCATCGAAATTCCTGAAAAGAGAACCGAGCGATGAAATATAAATGACTTTATTTTATAATAGTTTTCTCTCTCACTTGTTTATCTTTCTGCTTAAATGTAGACAATTTTGACTCGCGATAATCTTATTTGCCGAGAGGAAAAGTTTAAGATTTCGCGACTACCCTGCCGATGAACGCGAGGCGAAGCATCGCGATTACGGGATACCATTGAGCATTGAGCATTGAGCATTGAGCATTGAGTACTGAGTACTGAGCATAGTGGACGGTGACGACTGTGACGAGTGGTGTCTCCATTGAACCGGCACACTACCGGAAACGGTCGTTATCCGAACGCGGTCGTGCCGAGGTCGCTCTTGAAAATCGGGCTTCTGTTCCGCGCACCGCGGACGTCTCGTCTCTCTCACTGACGCGACGTCACGTGTCGAATGCGTGCCGGCCACGTGTCTCTCTGTTTCTCTCTGTCTTTCTTTCTCTCTTTCATAAGAAGGTCGCAGTTGTGTCCGGTGTCCGACCGCAAGCACTGTGAGAAAACTGGTCCATTCGGACGACGACGTAAAATCGCGTCATCCGAATGGACGACAATTAGTCACGTCATCAGTCCGTTTTCAAAGTGATATTTAAGATTTGGAACCGGCAATTTAAAACAAGCAGCTCACGTGAGATCGACTCCGATCACTTGACTCTGTAAAAAAATATATGTATACATCTCCTGATTCTGCCAATATACCGCGCGATTCTTTGGGCGTTTTATTCGTGCGATCGTATACCTACCTATCTACCTACCTATGCGAGGAATACAAAACGGCTACCTCGACTCGCTTATTATTATTTTTAGTTATAATTTCACCATATACACATCTGTATATTTATTTTAACTGTTGGTATTTTGTTGTATTACGCCCATATGATTTATTCATGATTTTTTTATCGCCCATTTTTTACAGCATGGCCGCTCAGACTCGTACAGGGTCGCCACGTTACCCAACATTCGCGACGACAACAAAACCGCAGATGGAATGTACAAGGTATATTCAGAGATGGACTCTATGTCCATACGAATTCTATATAATTAACATCTCTGGGTTCTGGTACGCTTCTTTGATCAGCAGATGGAATAAACGGGACGTTTCTTTCACTCTTTTCTCTCTCTTTCTCTCTCTTTTTCTCTCTCTTTCTCTATTTCTTATATCTTCCTTTATCTGATCTTTGTAATTCTATCGTTTCTTCATAGTAACAACATCTATTGTCGTAACGCTTCTCTTCTATGCCTCAGAAATTTTCTTGAAGGAAATTTTCTTCGTTCTTCCACTATCGCACTTCTGGATCTTTAACTCTTTCGCGTTTTCACTTTGGCATCAGCTTCGTAATCGTAAACACCTTAACGCATGGCAAAAGAACTTTGTTCGCGATTTAGGTAATCGAGTTCCTCGATTGGGTCACAACGTAATCGCATTTCAGTGACTCGACGATCAATATAGCAACATTACATTCTCTCGGAAAAGAAAAGAAAGCTTTGTACATAACTACACTCTGTACAATAATAATGTGTAGAATGAGATAAGATTGCACCGAATCTACTTTATAATAAAAGACAAGAAGGAGGAGTCTCCTACTCAATTGCTCGAGAAATAATGTATGTTATTTTATATAGTTTCGTCGTCCACACTGAAACTTGGTTACTCATCAATTATTTTCGCTGACATCGCATGACTTCGAAACATTCCTATCATTCTAGTGCAATTCTATCTCATCTTACGAGATATCATTACAGCTCGGTTCACCCTCCCTTCTCGATGATATATCGTTGCGATCGATTTCTTCTGCTACAGAGGCTGCTCTTACTCGTCGCTGGGTTTTCAATCTCAACTTCTACAATTCGACGCGCTTCGATAATTTTGTCTTTCTCTTCTACTTTGTCAATTATCAAAATATCTCGTCGATTAACGCGTCGCGGTAATACGGTGTAATCGCTTCGGAGCTTTATAATTGTAGCTGTGGAGTGTAAGATTGTTTACGCAACGTCGATATATATGTACGGTGAAGATGTTAATAGAAACCACCTTTTGATAACGCTCTCTTTTTCTTTGTCTGTTCCTGCTAACAGTCGCGGCGGAAGAATCCAAAGCGAAGGGGGGACAACCTAGATGACCTGAAGCAGGAGTTGGACATTGACTTCCACAAAATCTCACCCGAGGAACTGTATCAAAGATTTCAGACGCACCCCGAAAACGTGAGTAACATTGTGTTGTGAGGGACGATAGTCTCCTTTCGAGGAAATAGATTTAATTTGATCGAGATTGCGCAGCGTGTATGTCAATCGACATTAACATGTTGAACGCCGTAACGCAAAGAAAATATTACGAAAAATATTAAGAAAAATGTTATAGCTTCTCTTCTACGAAAGTGGAATAAAGTACAAGTGGAAAGACATTAAAATGGGAATTAGTTGACGGCGTTGAACAATGTTAAGTTAGCGATTTGAAGGATCGACACAGAGAGAGAAAGATTTGTTAATAATGTTTGTATAAAAATAATAATAGGGCCTCAGCCACGCAAAAGCGAAGGAGAACTTGGAAAGGGACGGGCCGAACGCCCTGACACCGCCGAAGCAGACTCCGGAATGGGTCAAGTTCTGCAAGAATCTGTTCGGTGGTTTTGCCCTGCTGCTATGGATCGGCGCGATCCTCTGCTTCATCGCGTACTCGATCCAGGCCACGACCAGCGAGGACCCGAACGACGACAATCTCTACCTGGGCATCGTCCTCGCGGCGGTCGTGATAGTCACGGGTATATTCTCGTACTACCAGGAGAGCAAGTCGAGCAAGATTATGGAGTCGTTCAAGAACATGGTGCCACAATTTGCCACCGTAATCCGGGAGGGTGAGAAGCTCACCCTACGAGCGGAGGATCTTGTGCTGGGTGACGTCGTCGAGGTTAAATTCGGCGACCGGATACCGGCCGACATCAGGATCATCGAGGCCCGTGGATTCAAGGTAGACAATAGCTCGCTGACGGGCGAGTCCGAACCGCAATCGAGGTCGCCCGAGTTCACGAACGAGAACCCGCTCGAAACAAAGAATCTTGCATTCTTCTCGACGAATGCGGTGGAAGGCACGGCCAAAGGCGTGGTGATCTGTTGTGGCGATCAGACAGTAATGGGAAGGATTGCAGGTCTCGCGTCCGGCCTGGATACCGGTGAGACACCGATTGCCAAGGAGATTCATCACTTTATACACCTTATTACCGGTGTCGCTGTCTTCCTCGGCATCACGTTCTTTGTCATAGCCTTCATCCTGGGTTATCACTGGCTTGACGCCGTAATCTTCCTAATCGGTATTATCGTGGCGAACGTACCGGAGGGTCTCCTCGCTACTGTGACCGTGTGCCTCACTCTGACCGCCAAGCGAATGGCCTCGAAGAACTGCCTGGTGAAGAATCTCGAGGCTGTGGAGACTCTAGGCTCGACCTCGACCATCTGTTCGGACAAGACCGGAACCCTCACGCAAAATCGTATGACGGTGGCGCACATGTGGTTCGACAATCAGATTATCGACGCCGATACCACAGAAGATCAGTCCGGCTTGCAATACGACCGCACTAGTCCGGGATTTAAGGCGCTGGCGAAGATCGCGGCCCTATGCAATCGTGCCGAGTTCAAGCCGGGTCAAGATGGTGAACCGATACTGAAGCGAGAGGTGAACGGTGACGCCTCCGAAGCCGCGTTGCTCAAGTGCATGGAACTGGCATTGGGCGATATCATGGGCATTAGGAAACGCAACAAGAAAGTCTGCGAAATTCCCTTCAACTCCACTAATAAATATCAGGTATCCATTCACGAATCGGACGATCCCAACGATCCTAGATATCTCTTGGTGATGAAGGGTGCTCCCGAAAGGATTTTGGACAGGTGCTCGACCATATTTATCGGCGGCAAAGAGAAGGTAACTTATCTAACAGTTTATCTACTTGTCTATCCTATAACTTTTTCAATTTTTAAACTCTTCGGTATCCGTAGGTTCTCGACGAAGAGATGAAGGAGGCGTTCAATAACGCGTACTTGGAATTGGGCGGACTCGGCGAACGAGTACTCGGCTTCTGTGATTACACACTGCCGTCCGACAAGTTCCCGGTTGGCTTCAAATTCAATTCCGACGATCCCAACTTCCCAGTCGATGGGCTCCGCTTCGTAGGCCTGATGTCTATGATCGATCCGCCCCGGGCCGCGGTGCCCGACGCGGTCGCCAAGTGCCGTTCCGCCGGCATCAAGGTCATCATGGTTACCGGTGACCACCCGATCACTGCCAAAGCCATTGCCAAATCCGTCGGCATCATCTCTGAAGGTACACGTTCGCACGTTATGTATCGATGCACTTTATCACATAAACAATTCTCGGATGACGTTCAAGATTAGATATCGCACGATATCTTCGTAGCCTTATTCGTCGACCTCGATTATGATGCTTTTATGAGTTTAATCTCTTAATGAGACGTAATTTCAGATAATAGGCTGCGCTTAAGATTTACAACGATCTTTGTACGCGGAACTTGGGGAGGTTTTATTGAAGGATAATGTCAAGTAAAATTCGCATTGTAAAAATAATGCGGTATAGTAACATGTTCAACTTTTTGATTGATGATCGCGTATACCTTACAATTAATTAATAGTGCGTAGAATAATTATTTGTTTGTAATAATCGTATTGGTTTGAGAATGTTCTCATTTAAATTTTTGTAAAAAAAAAAGAATCAACCTTTGTTTCATTTTTATTTCAATTTTGTTAATCTTATTTCCATCTTCCTTTTAGGTAACGAAACCGTTGAGGACATTGCACAACGGTTAAATATCCCGGTATCCGAAGTAAATCCTCGCGAGGCTAAAGCCGCGGTCATTCACGGAACCGAACTCAGGGAACTGAATTCCGACCAATTGGACGAGATTCTCAGGTACCACACCGAAATTGTGTTCGCCCGTACTTCGCCTCAGCAGAAGCTCATCATCGTCGAAGGCTGCCAGCGAATGGGCGCGATTGTCGCTGTAACTGGTAAGTTACTTGAAGATAAAATAATATGAATGTTTTATTATACCTAGCAACGCATTACGAAGAAACTGTTCAGTTAGAATTAAATTCTTTATGAATTTTTTGGATTGGATAAATTAATTTATTTTTAACATGAGAATGATATGAATTGTAATGTAATAATAATTATCTATAATTGAAACATGTACAAATATTTAATTTATTTAGGCGACGGTGTGAATGACTCGCCTGCTCTAAAAAAAGCCGACATTGGGGTCGCTATGGGCATCGCTGGTTCGGACGTTTCTAAGCAAGCAGCCGACATGATTTTACTCGACGACAACTTTGCTTCGATCGTAACAGGCGTAGAAGAGGGTCGTTTAATCTTTGACAACCTGAAGAAGTCCATCGCATACACTCTGACTTCGAACATACCCGAAATCTCGCCTTTCTTGGCGTTTATCCTCTGCGATATCCCTTTACCATTGGGTACCGTCACCATTCTTTGCATCGATTTAGGGACCGACATGGTGAGTCACGAAATATTACAAGAAAATGATGACTCGAGTCGAGTAACAATATTCGGAAGAGACGTTTGCATCTCGCGGAAAGTTCTTCGAAAGTTGTTACTCGAGTTCCTTCTTATTGGCTAATTGAATTATTTCAGTGTCCGTGTTTTTTATCCTGATAGCTTATATAGTCATGAAGCCCCACGACTGTTTCTTAAAGATTACCGATAGTCTTTGATACTTATATTAATTGATACCCATGATAGGTACCAGCGTGATATGTTTGGAATACTAAACCTGATACGATGACTGCATGATGTAAACCAACAGTTCCTCGAAAATTTGTTCGACAATATCTTCTTTCTTTATAGATAGCGATGCTTTTGAACCAGTCAGGATGGTGGTGGTCAACAACCGGTTCATCAATTAATCTCTTGAATATTTTTATTTCCTTTTAGATTAATTGTGCGCTGATGGAGAGCTTGAGTCCAAGCAAAAGTATAATTTAGATACATTATCTTACAGGGATTTAAACATTTAAAAATTGAACAAAACACGTCAAAATATGAACAATAAATTTGCATTTGAGTAGGAATAGAGATTTGTCGTAACGGGAGATGTTCGTGGTTTAACGTTCCTTTTCAGGAACTATATCTCTGCGAGAAAGCTGCTTACTGTTTATCGACGCAAGATACCGCAAATTTCCTCTAAACTCCTTTGATTCCTTCCTGAATCAATTTCTTAATCAGTTTAATTTTTTTATTTTTCAGTTGGTTATTTTTATTTTCTATGCTTCATTGTACACACATAAGAATGCTGTCGATATCAATTTGATTATAATCTTATTCTCTTAAGATTGTTTTTACATCAGATTGTACAGAGAGATTAATAGTTGAATTTTAAATAAGATGTTAGATGAACGACACGTCAGCATTCTTATTCCAACATCATTCGAAGACATTATCGTTATTTAATTGTTGGCGTTATTACTGAGCTCTTTGATAATGTGACGTCAGGTACCCGCCATCTCACTAGCCTACGAGGAGGCAGAGAGCGATATTATGAAGCGACAACCACGAAACCCCTTCACTGACAAGCTAGTTAACGAAAGGTAACACATCAACAATGAATATTGTGACAAGCTATATCAGATTTTCTATAATTCGAAAGAGTCATCGGTGATGATGCCCTGTATTTTCGAAGTCTTTTCCCGATTGATAAGTTGAATTTAAATATCGAATTTTCGAAATATCGGTAAAACTGGCTAACTTTCTTAGACTGAATTTCTCAAGTAATTGTCTAAACATTTTCTAAGAATCGGGTAGAGCTTCGGAAATTCAATCACATGGCGATCGCTCTCTCACTCGATCGGCTACATATTTTGTCTTTCTATGACGACTTTAGTAGTTAGTCCGTTCTATTTTGTATTATACGATATAAATGCGTTCGATGCGGGAAGGCAACATGCGTATATTGGTCTTTTTCTAACTCGTCATCGTTCGATAATCACGTACGATGTAGGAATTGTGAACTGGGTAACAATAATTCGCGGGCAAATTGATTCCTCGCATAAATAATGTACTTTGTTTAATCTCCTATCTGATTTACACGCTAGATATTTTACCGAGTAATATTGTATGATATCGTCATCTTTCGAGTATTGTCTTTATAAGTACTCTAAGCAGTTAGTAGATGTTAGCTTTTTCTTTCACTTTTCTTTACCCTTTCAAAGTACGATTTGAATTACTTTGGTCATTGCCGCGAAGGCCACTTGATAAAGTTCACGCGATGTAGGGATTAATTTGCCAAGCCTATCGCTCGAATTGTTGAGTGGGACACACTATGACTAATGACAAAATGTGGATAAGGTAATAACGGGATATGGTACACGCTCCAAGGTGTTTGGTCGCTGGGAGATACGCGAGCTTTATTTTCAGTCTATTCGTTTCTCTATTCGTATTCTATACTCGCTCTAACGATAAGCTGGATTAAATTTCGTTAAACAACGCTTGCTCGTCCATGATTTGTCGTCGACCTTTTCAAAATAATTTGTATTTTTATAAAAAAGAATAATGGAATCAAATGATAATCGTACATCAAACTGTCCTGTTATCTTCTGAAAAAGTTGAATTCTTTTACAACATATGTTTTAATATATGCCTTCTCTTTAATTTCGCGAAAAGTGAGACGATTTAATTGCGAGACGGGCAATCGTGAATTTTTTCTTTTCGAAGAATTTTCTCTTCCTTTTATATTGACGGTCACAGGCGCTTCCATCATGATGATCCTCAGTCTTATTAGTGTTGTTTCGTTACGCCGAAGGTAAGCCAATCGCATTGTAAAGCCTTTCTTTCCTCTCTCTCTCTCTATATATATATATATATATCTTTCTCTCTTTCATAACTAACTCTATTACATAGTATCTCTAGTTTTTTTAATTCTCTTTGAGCTCAATTTTCCCATCGTTTTATAATTCCTCGCTGCGGTCGTCATCTGTCCTGGTCTGCCATTGGCTTGAGGTGTATATGGGTTGCTGAGACGTCCACGAGACATAGACAAGCGTCGTTGTGAAGAACTCGCATGATCGCTCCCTTCAGCATTTTACTTATCTTGCCTTTTTTCCTACTTGAAGTGCTCTCTATTTCTGTTATCGCTATCCCTGTTTCATCTTCCGTTTCTCTCTCTCTTTCTCCATCTTTTCTCTCGCGTGCGTGCACGCTATTTTTATATATATACATATAAATTTATTTTTCTCTTCAGAGTATACTCTATATACATATACTCTATCTCTCTCTACTCTATATATATACTATACTCTTTCTTTTATACCATCCTTCATCGTATCGCGTCCTGTCGCTGTTTCTGAGTCTCCCTCTCTAAATCGTGATACAAGTATCAAGGAATGCAAGGGAATTTGTATATTGTGTTGTGAATATTATGTGATGTTTATCATAAATGTGCAACTCGACTGTTTTCACTTGATTGTTATACTTTGCGAATCTGCTCCGCGTCATTGTCGGTACCACGAAGACTCGAATGACATAGAGATTGAACGATAAGAAAGTTTCGCACGTTCCGGAAGCCCGAAATGTTCTCATAGAGTAAACGGTAGTGCTCTCTCTCTCTCTCTCTCTCTGTCTCTCTTTTTCCGTAGACATTTGAGTAGAATAGTATTACGATAGAATAGAATTGTACGTCGGTTTGCATATATGAAACGTGATTTTCTTCTTTTAATCTCTCTTTCTTTTCATCGTTTTTCTCTACCTCTATATCTTTATCTACCTCCATTATTCCTGGCTGCCTTAATTGCCTTGAGCCAGGTTTTATCGTCGCTGCACCTCGCTCAGGAAAACAAATTTTTTTTTTTAATTTGGAATTGATTCGTTTATTATGGCTTAGTGAAAATTCATTGAATAGTCCAACGCGGTGTAGGGATGAATGAACAAGAAGAACATGATTGTTGCGTGCCAGACAAATTAACAGGACCATGAACTTTGTGAAATTGTAGGATATTTTATCTAAAGATTTATTTATTTGTTTCTGTTTAATCGGAAACACATAAGTTGACTTTAATAATTTTATACAGCGAAAAAGAGCTAAACCGATTGAATCGATAGATGCAGAACAGCCGCAAGTTCGCGCGGTGATTTTCTACACTTGTATGACGCGCATTGCATATCTTTCTTAATTTCTTCTCTTTCTCTATTCGCAACATCAAATCTTTTCTCTTTTCTTCCGTAGAATTTACCGGATTTTTCTTTAGAAAAATAAACTCTGCATCAAGCGATTTATTTTCTTTCTTTTTCATCGTTGGTTGAGCAACGATCGTTCTTAGTCATTTCGTAATTCAGGGAGAAGCAAGTTTCGTCGACAGAATCGCTCAGGGAAAGCAGGAAGGAATAAAGATTTTTTTTATTTCGAATATATCGGAAAACATGCATTGGTAAAGGACATTAACAAATGTTTCGCATTGGTCGACGAAACTTAAATCTTAATCAGGCAGTTGAATTCTAATCGATCTTACACGTACATATATCGCACACTCCTGGAAGAATATTACTGCAAATCAAAAAGTAAATTTTCACAAAAGTAACGTGATACGCGATTTCCTAGGTAACTCAATAGTATGTCACTTTTTACTTATAAGTTGAATATAAAAAATTTTGACTCATGTAGTAACATATTTTGTAATTATGAAAAATTGAACTTGATTGAGTTATAACAATCTTCTTGCAGGAGTAGTTTATTATGTATATAGATATATATATGTGCGTGTGTATATATAGGTGTGTGTACACACACACACACACACACACACACACACATATATATATATTTACATTAATCTTTGATGCTCAGTAATTATTACTATTATTATTCTTGTCCTCATCTACTAGTCTTATTACCATTATTATTACAACCACAAGTCAGCATCGTTACTTATAGTTACTGAATTTTTATTGCCATTACTATTTTATCTACTACATCACAGCTGCCGCTGCTACTACCTCTATATATTACTACTATTATACTATACTTACTATTTACTATACTGTTCGTTACTTGCCATCATATATCACCGCCAAAAGAGAAAGACACTTTTGTACATTTTTGAGCGTCATGAACTTTTCTTGCAGTTTTTTATTCTTTACAGTCCTCTCACGTTTTATTATGTAATGCGCTGCCTACTGCCGCTGCCTTCTACCCACTCTGCGACTGGCAACTTTCTAATGGGTGCTGAAACGACTGATATACTTTTGCAAAAACATTTGCTAAACGGGAGAATCTATATGTATATGTTAATTGGAAGTGGGAAATTGCCGTGGTAGCCCCCTCGTGCACAAACGTGCATTCTGTTGTTTAAAAATTGTCCGATGACTCGTTAGTTCGATAGCTCATATTTTTTACGACAATATTTCGCGAGAATGATTATGTGCATCAGGGGGTTGCGCCGCGATATTAACGAAAGCTTGAGGAAGCTACTCGACGTGCACGAAAGAGAAGGGATTTTTTTTCACCTGCATCCCAGAAGTGCTCGATGACGCTCATTTATCTCGCTTATCGTTATATTCGCCCCTCAGACTTGTAAGTTTCAATGACGCTAGCTTTAAAAAGAAAGTCTTTCTAATTCCAGTTTGAATTTGAAATTGAATGTATCTAGCAAAATTTATAGTACGCGTAACAAAGTTGTTTGCTGGAAACTGTTGTAACGTTAAAATTATTGTAACGCTTTTGTCCCTATACGCGTATGATTCATCGAGCATCACTGAGAATAATTCAATCGGAGACTGTGAGAGCTGATGGTAACGATTGGAGATGCGTGAAAATGTCAAAGTGGAAAAAGGACGAAAGGTCTGCGTGTGTGTGATTCCAATCACGACCTTTTTTCACTTGCTTCAGATATAGCACAAACGATTTTTTTCTCCTGGGTCATTTCTAGGCCGTTTCTAGGCCGTCCATCTAAACGCAGCGCCTGATCTAATGCACAAATACACTCGCTAATACATTCGCTACTGTTCAGGTTTTCTCTGCTATTCTTCGACGCAATTTTATGCCACATATTTCTAACGCATTTTTACGGCACTATTTTCTAACGCAATTTTACGCAAGAACGAAATTTCATTTCTAAAACGAGCTGCGTTTAGGATGGAACCTTGGCCGCTGCGGTTGCTTTCTCGAGCATCTCGAAAGATCACCTTTCGGGTGTTTTGAAAGAATCGCATGAAAACGCAATATCGTCGCCAATAAAAACATATTGATCGTATATGATCGACGCTAAACTGTCTTGTGCGATCTCCAAATCTCTCCTATCTCTTTCGCTCGCACTGCGCGTACATACACGATTACCGAGAGTGTATGTGCATAAACTACCAATAATGGTATAATATCTCTTGCATATAACTTCTTTGTAATGCGGTGAGGGGTAGTTAGCATTTTCTAATCAGTGGTGGATGGCAGGTGCCGGCCATCTCGCTAGCCTACGAGGCACCGGAGTCGGACATAATGAAACGGCAGCCACGCGATCCTTACAGAGACAATCTTGTCAACCGAAGGTGGGTCTCCTAATTACCCACCTAATAAAAAAAACCAACAGAAACCTATTGCACTGACGTCCGTACCGTGTCAATTCACATACACGTTTTTACCGTTATCACTACTATTTACTTGTTTCACATACACACATACACACTTAGCACACCCGCCAGGGCCGTCAGACGTGATTGATCCTTTGCTTGGCAAGTAGAAACTCGAAGTAACGACCGGAATATTCGATTCCCAGCATGCGCGAATATTGCCTGATGTACCAACGATTGAGGATAGATTAGAAGAGACAGCTGGCTATCTAGTATGTCCAACAAAGGGTTAATCGATGATAACGACTAATGACGGTGAAACAACGCTGTTACACAGCGGTGTTGCGTGTTAACAGGATAAAATACGTTTTGCAAATAACAAATAGATGTACGTAACGTCGCGTTTCTGATAATAGTTGACTGCTCTGACGATAGTAGATCTCACACACGTACGTACGTACGTATACACGCGCGCGCGAACACACACACACACACACGGTGAATGTGCTTGTGAACCGAGTTAGAAGTAACCAGCCATCCTAGAATTCTTCGTCTACGCGTGCAGCGTTCTATTCATCTGCATGATGCAGTAACAACTGTCCTGGGACGGCTATTGTGTGATTCTAACTTGGACCGCAATGTGTACACACTTAATAGTCTTAATACATAACAGCATAATACGTAACAGAGTGTCTGCTGACTTTAAAGCCCCTTGCACAATGCCAGGCAACAGGCAATAGGAACAGGAAATAACCAAAAAATCGTTAATTACAACCTAAAAAATTCAAATGCTATGATTGGTTGGCAATAGGCAATAGGCACAGAATTTCCAACGTGACGGAAACTCTGTGTCTATTGCCTGTGTCACTGTTTATTCTGCATTTATACATAATTTCTGATTTCTATTCCCTGTTCCTATTGCCTGTTGCCTGGCATTGTGCAAGGGGCTTAATGGTGAGTCGTGGTATACCATTGTCTTTTCTTTTTCGCGAAGACCTGTATTTTTCCGTAACGTCACACGCTGTTTAATTACGGAAGAGAATCGGCCGAAAAATAAAATTATTACGCCTTCCAAGTTTTTCTTGGCCAGTTTTTGAGATCATTGATAAAATGATAGGACCCTTTACTTCTTTTCTTTTAAAGATCTTGGATTGCTAGTGAAACACATTCGGTAGACACTCTGTGTCAGCAGACAAACGACATCTGACTCTAGGAATCTAGTTAACTAGCATAGAGCACAAGCAAGTTTTACCTATATACATCAGAACAGTTTTCAGATGTTGAGAATGCCGAATGCTTTTTTAGATACACCTAAAATCTCTTATCCGATCAATGACTAACACTGAGATCTGTTAGCTTTAACTTTATACGTGTTACTTTTTTCTAATCGTTGCACAAGATGTATGCGCGCAAATCGCGGGCGACAACATCGGAAACTTTATCAGTATTGCTGTCAATATAATTGATTATTCGGCTATTACAGATATTATTCAAAATCCGGGCAAGTTGTATATATAATTGCAAAATAATTGCAAAAATTTGATCTATACATATTGACAGCATCCCTCCTTAGTTTGCCGATTGTCTGGTTCAATAGATCTACATTCGTTTCTGGAGATTTTATTTTATAATCAGACGTCGGAATGTACAACATTTTATTTTATAACATAAAAAGAATTTTTAAACTTATTTTATAACTTAATATGAGAAATAGAATTTTTTGTTTTAACATATTTTATTATATCAATGCATATAGTGTAAATGCCTGACGCCTGACGTATATTCATCCTGTAAAAATTCTGTAAAAGATAACATTTCCAGAGACAGATGCAGACCTAATGGAATCCCATGCACGGTAAACAGAGGATTAACATCGTCGGAAACATTCGCCGGAAAAACGACGATATTCGGGCTACCGACGAGTTTTTCGCGGAGTGCACGTTTCGCCCCGAATGTTCTCTTTCTCGCTATCTTTGATCTTTCACTTTTTTTACACTTCTCATTGACGCTCAGAGAGCAATCCCAGTTACGAGAGTCGCCGCCGAGAGCAGCTTTTGAGAACGAACGACTCGGCATGCACGGCTTGGGCAGCCTCTTCTTCTCTACCGCGAACGACGTGATCCATCGCGGATCGCGTTACAATTATCGGCTTCTTCCGCTTTATCGCACTCGACGACTGCCTCGACGCGACGTCAGCAATTTTAATTGTCGCCGAGCTGCAACATTTTTTTCTTTACGTTTGACATTGCGATGCCTCTGGCACGCTTGTGCGAACACTAACTTTAATAAGAAAACTCTCTGTGCATCTTCTACTGACCTGAGTCTGATGAGTTAACCACCGGCTCAGTACGACTAATCTAACTATGACTAATCTGTCGCAATCACATGTAACTCGCTTTCTTGGCTTAACTCTGCGCACAGATACTAGCTGCATGCTTTTTTACACTAATTGCTTTGACGTTAGTTTTGTCGATTGATTATATGCATTCTGATTAGTGATTTGTAGCAAGTTAATACGCGTTAATACGATAATAGTTAGTTGCAAAAAAAAGCAAGCACGGAAATCACAAAATTACTCTACAGTTTGATCATATCAATAATCTGACCAATTGTAAATTATTGATTATTTTTGTAGATTATAATTACACTTGCGGTTTAAAGAGCAAGAAATGTTTTTTTTTTATTTTTTCAATATTGTTACGATTAAGTATTAAATAATACGATGCTTGTAACAAATCTTTTAGTTAGTTTACTAATAATAATTGATAATGTGGCATAATTATTTGCAAAATTGCATTGATAATAACAACAGATAGATTCTCTAGTCAGATTATTGTACTGAATCGAATTCGAAGCAAGAGTAGAGATTAAGTCCGTCATTTGTAAGATCTACTTAAAATATGAGATATAAAATCACATTTAAAGTATTACATATTATGGACATGGTCTATCTTGTTGCTTTGAAATTTTTAATTGTGGTGTAAGATATTTGTGCCAATCAGTAGATCATTTCGTTGTAACATTAATTCACAAATCAGACTGGAAACGTGCGCGGGGTAAGCTTTGGTAGTGCGAAGTATTAATGGGAAAGAATTAACGAGGAATGGGCAGCTTCGATGTTAACCATGCAACTTGCCATCATGAGAATTGGCAAGCAACGGCTATGTCCACTCGTCTGTCTATCTATCTATCTATCTGTCTGTCTGTCTCATCTGTCTGCTCTGTGTGGCATGCCTCACTGTCGAGAATCGATCGTTAATCGTCTACCTATTGGTAAGTAATCTGCATTTTGCCCCTAACCGGTGACCATGGCTTCCGTAACTTTAACACGAACTTAGACTATTAGAATAAATAACATCAAAGTCGAACGATTAATGTGACGAAGATTTCCTAACTCTCGAAGAATCTTGAAACGTTCCAATTTTTTTTGCTTTTAAGAATCATTTGCAAAGAGCAAAATTCCCCCAGATGAATGTCGCTCGAAAACCATCTTTGACTAAAAAAATCAACTCTTCGCCGCTCATTCTTTCAAGAACTTGAGAAGATTAATCTTTAATTAAATTTAAATTTTTCAAGTTTTTTCCCTAAAACCTTAAAAATTCTATATCGATGCCGAAATCTCGTTATCGAGAATTGCACTTGTAGCATAAAATGTCCGTGTTGTTTTTAATGCGGTGATATGAGATTATGGCAAAAAGCAGGATTCTTCGAAAGCTAACGTCAATTATGTCATTGCGCAGGGAGAATATTTTTTAACACATTTATTTGTATCTAGGCTTATTTCGATGGCATACGGTCAAATCGGTATGATTCAAGCCGCGGCCGGCTTCTTCGTCTACTTCGTTATCATGGCTGAAAATGGATTCCTGCCTCTGTATCTGTTTGGCATTCGGAAACAATGGGATTCTAAGGCTATCAATGATCTTACCGATAGTTACGGCCAGGAATGGGTAAATATGATAAATCTAGAATCAATCTAATATGGGAGAAATTAAAATAAACGAAAACTAATATTTTATTCTTGGAAAACCAATTCTTCTTCGTTAATAAAAAAAAATATCACGTAAATATTCTTTAGGTCCATTCTTAAAATTATTCGCAATATAATACAAACTTTTCAAAATTATATTCATAGGAAAAACTAATTCATATTGGATATAAATTTTGAATTTCTTGGTTTAGTTGTACATTACAAGAGTAATACGTGGACTGATTATGCAAATTTGTTTTTTTTATTTTATAAACAGACCTACAGAGATCGTAAAACGTTGGAGTTTACTTGCCACACAGCTTTCTTCGTATCAATCGTAATTGTGCAATGGGCTGATCTGATTGTTTGCAAAACGCGCCGCAACTCAATTATTCACCAGGGAATGAGAAACTGGGCTCTGAACTTTGGTCTCGTGTTTGAGACCGCCCTCGCTGCGTTCCTAAGTTACACGCCTGGTATGGATAAGGGTCTCCGTATGTTCCCACTGAAGTACGTATTTTATATCTATCTTTACATCTCTTGTTATCTGATACGTAACGAAACAAATTTGTATCCAATATTTTGGTCATGTATATTTACTCGAGCATTTAACATATATAAATAATGGATTGCAGAATCCATGTTATAGCTCTTGCATTATAATTAATTTTAAACTGGCAGTATATAATGCGACAAAAAAAATAGCAACATGTAATTCACGTACGTTGCAGATTTGTGTGGTGGCTGCCAGCTTTACCGTTCATGCTCGCCATCTTTATCTACGACGAAACGAGACGATTCTACCTCCGTCGAAATCCAGGCGGCTGGCTCGAGCAAGAAACTTACTATTAGACGCAAAAAGGATTAAATCACACGCATGCAAAACGCGCGCGCAAGAGGATGAATGAACGAACGAAAGAATGAGAGCGAAAGAAAGAAGATGAGAGAAAGAGAGATAGAGAACGAGAGCGAAAGAGAGAAAGAAAGAGGATAAGAGAGAATGAGACGCATACTCATACCTGAGAAAGATACACTTGAAAAAAGAAAAAAGAAAAATAAGTAAATCACTCATGTTGAACAAATGTAACACATTTCACAAGGGATGTGCTACTGGGTCTGCCCGAATAACGTGTCAAGAGAGTAACGGGTGGACAACGAAGGACGCGCCAAGTTTGCACTGGCTTTCACGACAAAAGAGACGCAAGATTATTATACGAGAAAGACACGGAAAAGACCCTCTAGTGTTATATAGGTACAGCGCGAAGTACAAAGAGCACGCTCGTCGTTCTGGCTTCGCTGCCAATTGCTTGCACGCGCGTGCCGAGTTTCGCAATCTCAAAAATTGATCCGGTGTTCGAGAAACCGTCGATGGAGGAGGAGGCATCGAAGGAATTCCACCATTACTATCATGCGAACGATGCGGATCGAGAAGCCGCGTCCGATTACAACACGACTACGGGGCTTCCCGGTGACGACTGGTGCTGCTGCTGTCAAATTCTGGATAGGATATACTCTGTGAGCGTCGCTCGAAGATGGAACGAAGGAACGAGAGAACGAAATGGGAAATCGTTGAGTTGATAGCGTCGCAGCGCGACTGATGCACGAGTGTCAGGCCTAAAGAAACGTGATAACGCGAAAAGGAAGCCGAAAGAGAACCGGCGCGGCAAGGAGAACGGAAATTCGGAACAGCAGCGGAAACGGACATACTCGAAAGAGATGGGGCGTTTACGCGCGATAGAGAATCACGGAATCACGTGCGTCCTTATGTATGTCGAATGCGATTTACTACATTAACGCGACTTCTTACTTCTTACTACTAGTGGCGTATTATCGTAGACATCTTTGCGTTACTAAGAAACTTCGTAATAGGCTTTCGTTGATCGTCGATCAATGCGCGCAAAATATCGGTACGCTAAGATCGGCACACTCAACAGTCCTCCATTGAAAAAAACTTTAGTTGGAAGACGAGAGACTCATTGAAAAACGAGAGGATCAGAGACCGACGCGAAAGAGCAAAGAAAGAAAGTGCTCAATGTAACAAGAGAACCGTTAAAAAATTCATAGGGACTTCGCGTGACGCTGAAATACTTCGTACGAAAATTAATTGTTAATTGTAACGAAGGACCTGATATGACATGTATCGGGTACGGTCTATAGTCATACGTCATGATAAAATAAAACTAAAATAAAGGAAAGAGAGAGAGAGAAAGAGTTATGATAAATAATTAAATGAAATAAATAATTAAATATAAATAAATAAAACCGCATTCACAGTATTTATTATTATTAATAAACGACATACGTTCGGTTTCGAGTCTTAATCCGCATAGCTACCAGGAAAACAACGGCGAAAACGTATCGCGTAGTTTCAGTAGTTACAATTTTTAGCGTGAAATTTTAATATCACACTGACACACGCGACAAACACGGTGAGGCAGAATGGAAGAAGGTGCGCTGAGGTTGGTTCTAACGGAGAGAGCGGAGTGGTTCGTCTCATCGACATCGAGCAGCAGGAGGAAAAAAGAGACCGAAGGCGGCAAAGAGATACGTGGACAGTATATATAAAATAAGTATCAACTGAATCACTATATACCGATTGACGAGGACGGACTAATAAAGCGATACGTTATTTAATTGCGCATGCGGATAGAGCGATGAGAGGTCACGGCCTGGTTGGCAGCGAACCAGAGGAAGAAGGGAAAAAAGGGAGAATCTGCCGCATGCCATCCGAGAAAATAAATAAATTACGAAACGTTATTGATTAACACGCGCGCGCGCGTTAGTAGAAAGGGTGATTAGAGAGAGGGAGGAAGCGCGATAATGTTCAATAAGACGGGATAATGAGACCGGCGAATGCCGAGTACCGTGAAACTTTGTATTAACGATGCGCTATGCAGGATGTAGAAAAAGGAAGAGACAGACCGCGCGTGGAGCAGAAAAAGTTAAAAAAAAAAAAGAAACGTTCTTACTTAGATAAAAGCTAAATGAAGAATATAACAATTCCTTCTCTTAGTTTTTCATAGATTTAAAACGCCAGAGCGGGACAGCTCGCTATAAATCATTGATCCCCCCCCCCCCACAACGCGGAACGCCCTGTGTAGCAGCGAATTCGCGATCTCTGTCAGCCAGCCGGCGAGCATGCTGTCATTATCCATGTTTTACGTGTGGTATGCGTGCGCGTGTATGTGCGTTGTGCGTGTAGTGTCGAAACAACACAACCGTGACTTAAAATGCCTGCCACGCGACTTTTTTTTCGGGCCGGGACGATCCGAGACTTGTGATCGATGCGATCTCGCAACCGAACCGCACACGAATATGTCCTTCCTCATCGTCTCTCTCGAGGGCTTTTGTCAGTCGTTGCCCGCGTTTGCTCCGAACGCGATCGCGCTGCTCGTTGGCGAGAAGATGGGGATGAGAATGTCTGAACGAACGACTGTTCGTTTCCTTTAACGGTAGATGATGTCTAAGCGGATAAACGTGCTTGAAGAGATACGCATCTTGGATAACAATGACAGAAATGATGATAAGGAAATATGATACTTTTTAAGAAATAAAAATTGGCGATCGCAAGAAATACAAATTTTAAGAGGCCATTCTCAGCTACTCGTTTATCGTTGAAAGAATCGTGGAACGTGATAAAAAACACTCGTAGCGATCGGATGGCAATCATTCCATTTTCTTTGCGAATCAATAATACTTTTTTCGTTTGTGTCGTGATGAGCATTCTTGATATATATTTAAACAGCGACCGTATTTTGCTTTGCGAAGAGAATGGAATGATCGCGGTTACATTGTTACAACGATACGTTACAATAACCGCGAGGAAATTGCGTTCTCATTGAGAGTAAGGTGGTGGCGTTACGCGAACGCGGATCGATGAGCGGAAATGCGACGCTTTCTCGGCGGCCCAGGCTCCAAAACTACCCTAAGTGTTCAATGATCGAGGTGTTCTCGAGATGTCCTGTATGCGCTTAAACGCGAGACGTTTCTTCCTTCGCCGGTTCCCTCCATTCGGTGCCGTCGCCTCGAGTCTCGCTACGAGTGGACACGTGAATACGAAAGAAGAAAAAGACGACGACGACGCGAGATGCGCTTTCTCTCGACCTCTCGCGACCTTTTCTCTGTTACGCGCGTGGGAGGTTGCGCGAACCGTGTCCTGGATGTGCGATTCTAAAGACATTTGAGAGATGTCTTGAGGGAATGTTGCGTTAGTTGTGTGATATGAGTCGAATCGAGTCGAGTCAAGTCACGGGGGCGAGAAGGAAATCGGCATCGGTGAGGCGAGGATGACACGCGAGTCCGTATGTCATCGGAAACTGGAATCGGCGATGTTTCAAAACTATCCATCGGTCTATCGATTCGGACGTTATTCAGCCACGGCGTTTTCGGATCGACCGACGCCGATCCTGATTAACTATTCTCAATTCTCCTCCTCTATCCGTTTTATAGATGGAACTGTAATTTAGAAGAAAAGGACGCAGCAAATAGCCGAACCGGAATTCGGATTAGAGCTCGGATTTTACCTCTCCGTCGTAGATCGATCGCTTCTGTCACAACGAAAATGCGGAGATTTAAGAGGTTTAAGAGGTTTCGTGCGTAACTGTTATTTTCGGTGAATCGCCGAAAATGACACATTTTTTCTAGAATGGATGCACATGAGAAAATAGGGGGTGAAGAGAGAGAGAGAGAGAGAGACAGAGAGAGAGAGAGAGAAGCACACCTGTAATGTATGCGAGAAGAGAAAAAGGCGTGTACGATGAATATCTGTGAAGCTACGGAGAAGATCCGCAGCGTTGTCGACAGGGTGTTCCGTGCCCGGGGGGCTGTAGGAGCCCAAAAAAAAGCTTTGCCGTCGTGCGCAGCCTCTTTACTTTAGGCTAATATAATTTAATTATTATTAATATAATATAATAGTAATAATAAATAAATAATAATGATAAATAATAATAATAATACATGTTACAATTAAGATATTATTAGATGTAATTATTATATATGGTTTAGTCTAGATCGTGTTGTTGAAGACAAAAAACAAAGTACGTAAGCGAACAAAAAAAAAAGATTAAGGACAAAGTAGAAAAGGCGCGACGATAGAGAGGAGAAAGAGAATGAGAAGGAGGAGGAGGAGGAAGAAGAGGAAAGAGAAATAGAAGTTGAAAGCAGACACACACGCCAGGCGGGGAGGAAGTTTCGGTCGAAGACCACACGATCCTTTTGCGGTGGACTGAGCGGGACGATGCCGCGCTTACATGCTTATTATTCACACGCGTACATCAAGCGCTTCAAGCTTATTCAGTGGAGTGCAGGCCAATGTTACGCTTTCATATATTTGCGCGCGCGATATAGAGAGAGGAGTCGAAAAAGATCCTCATTAGACGCGATTATCACATTCGTTCCTCTATTCTTTTCCGCGTGTTTCCGGATGAAAAAAATAATAAAAGCAAGCGGCACGTGATGCTCCCTGTGCTACCCTTCGTTTCTCGAGGACGAAAGCAGGAACGTCGTGATTCTCTCCGCGATTGAGAAATACACACACACACACACTCACGCACACACATTCTCGCTCACTCCCTACACCCTCCACAACCACAACCCACGAAGAAGAAAAATGCGGTTCTTCGTTCTTTTTCTTACAATCCGATGAAAGACTCGCGCGTTTTTAGCGCTCGTTAGAGAAATGCTCGGTGCATTTTGATACGCCGCGCGCCTGCACAGCCCGCCGCATACCGCGTCGGAATCATTGAACGATTAAAGAAAAAAAAATCTTTAAAAAATATGAAAAAAAAGAAGAAAAAGGAAGAAAGGAAGGCGGATGACGTTTTATTAATACTGTACATATTTTAAATAATTGAAAACGAATAAACAGATCGCACGCGCGAACGGCGGTGACCTCGACCGAAAGGCGGTCTCATCCTTGGAGAAGGGAACGCTTTTTTGTCACAGGCCTACCGTACTCTACTTTCCTGTTTCTTTCTTTTCTTTTCTTTTCTGTTTTCCTCTTTGTGCGTTTAAAACGTCGCGTACATCCCACACGTCCACATTGTACACTTTATACATCGCGTGTAGAGAAACACCGGTTAGAAAGATGCTCGGAAAAAAAGACACTTTATTACACCCCGTTTCAGCAGCTATCTCTATCTCCTGGATTGACGATTCTCTTTTTCGCAATTAATTAATTAATTATTATTCTATATAAGTTTTGTTTTTACACGCAATACACATATACACACGTAACATACACGCACGCGGATTACATCGCAAACTGATACAAATACAACCCAAGTGTCATTACTTTTGATGTTAAATAAAAAATACATAATTAATAGAGCGGCCTCCCATTTTCCTTATTATCTTTCCTCTTTCCTCTTCGATCGTAACAACCGTCGAATAATTTACAATGCCGCACTATTTTTTGAAACTGCAGTTGTAGGAACAATGTGCACGCGATCAGCTCGCAATTATTATTGTCGTTAAGTACTTTTTGTTATTATGTAGTTTTTATTATTATTATTGTTGACAGAGATATTCAAATAAATAGAAATAATGATATTGATATTATTGACGAATCGTTCAAATTTGCAGGCAGAAGTATTCTCGAGAAAGTATCTGCGACTTGTAAATTTGTAAAAATAATAATAATAATATAGATTATATTATGATGTTTAAATTTTGGTTCTCGATTTGCTTCTGTAAAATGTTTATTTACAATCCTATCTCGCACAAATCTCTTATAAATTTTACTGTCACAGAAATGTGTGATTTTATAAATTTCATCGTTTCGAATTTAAACTGGATATATGGATACACGCATACGTATATATATCTATTTAGGTTTCGTTGTGATATTCTTGCGTCATAATTTTAATAATTATTTATAGCGCTAATAAGAGCAATTGTGATGGAAAAATGTTGATATAATCGATTCCTACTTTAACGACTGACAATGTGACAATGAATAAAATTATTATTATATGTATAAGATGATAAACTCAAAATGAGTTCCGAAAGATGGCGATAAATTTAGTTGATCCTTTTAATCATTCGTCGATAAGAACTTGATTAAGCCTCATGGTCAATAGATGGCACTAATCGCACTGACACTGACGTGACTGACGCTTATTTGAAAAGTTAACGTACGTCTGTGCACAGGTCACAGGACATTTAGGTTGTAACGTATTCAGCTACTACGATTTTCTCGAGTTTCCTACATTAAAAGATAAATATGGCTCCGGCGATCAAAGATAGCATGAAGAACATATTTCACAAAGTGCAATTCAATAAAACCGACCATCAACAGTATATGAAGAGGCTCACAAAGTTGTACGAGAAGGTAAGTTTCTCCTCGTGAGTGCTCTTTGGCTGCGTTCGTCTTGACGCTTTCAGCGCTGAAAGCATCGCTTTATTTTCGTTTGATGTTCGATGTGCAACAAAGATAGAATGATGCTTACAGCGCTGAAAGCGTCAAGACGAACCCAGCCTTTGTGGAATGTTTTGATTTTGTATCGACTTTAGTACTCTCGACAGATTTATAATGATCTCTGTAATATGATTTAAAATTCATTTCATTTGATTATACATACATAACAGTTTAGAATAATATTCGCTTTGTATATACATATATATTTTATATCTTGTTGAAACAAATGGCATTTTATGATGTATTAATTTTTTTTAGGTCGATTTAAATACATTCTGGGAATATTTTGTCTGGTGTTTGAAAGTACCTCTTTCAACGTCGCAACAACATCCATATGTTGTAAACACATTAGAGTTTTGTGCTAAATTCTGTATGAGTTTCTATCGATCCTTGGAGAGTGAAACCACAGAACCGATGTCACCATTTCTCAACAGACTATTTGAATTTCTTTTATCGAGTCACAATGCTAAGGATAAAGGAGTAAGGTTTCGAATATGTCATTTTCTGAATATGCTCTTAAACTCCATGGGCGATAACGCTTTCATGGACGACAATCTATGTGACCAAATTACAGTCAGTATGATGGATCGATTGTTGGATAAGTCGCCTAAAGTCAGGGCACAGGCTGTTTTTGCCTTGTACAGGTTGCAGGATCCATCGGATGAACAATGCCCTGTAATAAAAATGTATCTCTTCCATGTATCTAAAGACCCAAATGCTGAAGTTCGTAAAGCGGTTCTCGCTACTATGGGCAAAAATCAGAAAACTTTACAAGCCGCATTGATAAGAACGCGAGATATCGATGATTCTGTGCGCAAGAAAGCATATGAATTTATCAGTAAAGTCACAGTGCGTTCCTTGACTATTGAGCAAAGAGAGCGTTTATTGAAGGATGGGCTCAAAGATAGATCTGAAACTGTTAGAACATGCGTAAACAATGTTTTATTGCCAGCATGGTTAAGATATTTCAAGGGAGAGTATATGAATCTTATTCATGCACTGGATGCTGGAATCGGAACAGAGACTGCAACTTTAGCTCTACGGGTACTATTCAAGTAAGTGTACATCATAAGCAAAATAACATACTGATAAAACTGGCATGTATATTTTATTAAATATTTTTTTTTCCATACAGAAACGCTGATTTAAAGATTTTATTGGCGCAAGTAACGATAGATAAAAATACAAGATTGATTCCATTGACAAGTTTAACAAATGAAAATGTTTTATATTGGAAGTGTATAATACAACATCTCCAACGTCTTTCCTGTACGGAAGAGTTGGAATTAATTATTCCAGAGTTATCAGAATTTTGCAAATATATATGCGATTTTATTACTTTCATATCTTCTCAATCACACGAAACGTGGGAAAAAGAGAGTCACAAGTTTATTTTACTACAACTTTTTGAAATATCTACAACATATGATCTCTCAGATGAGGTGGGCAGGAAGAATCTAAACGAAGTGATAATAAACACTTTAATGAGCGATCATTGTTCCACTAAAATAATTGAGTGTCTAGTAAGTCATTTGGCAAAAGTGATACCAGAGCCCAGTAATATGCTTAATGCTATTGCTAATGTTATTAGCGAGACTAGGTTACCTTTGAAAGAAAATGCAGTCACTCAGCAAATTACTGGAGAACAGCAGCATGAGAACAACATGCAAGTGAGTATTAAAATCCAGTGCTGTTAAAAAATGATGTATTCATAAATTATCTCTAATTCTTTTACTTTCTTTTTAATTTAGAAAGCTAGATTAAAAGTCGAGGTGTTAGAACTCGAAGAGGAATTGTATCAAGCGATCAAGGAACAGAATTTTCTACAAGCTGACAGCCTTAAAGAAAAGATTAATGCCTTGAAAGAGGAGATAAGTCGTTTATCTAAAGTACCCGAAGCTATATTAACTGAAGATAATATGCGGGAGGAGAAAAATGATACCGCAACTATGGTGAAATGTCTCGATATTTTATATGTTGCGATGCAATCTATTCGTGTATTAACACCCACACTCAGAAGTTTGATGTGTTTTGTTTTAAGTAGTCTTGATGTAAGTGTGCATAGATTTTATGATGTGTGTGTGTGTGCGTGCGCGCGCGCACGCGCGTATACATATATAATCAAATTTTACATTGTATTTTATTTATTGTCAGTTATTATAGCTTAATTTAATTTATCATTTTAGCATTCTGACGATAGTGTACATATACTGGCGCTAAAGACATTAGGCGTTTATTGCATTTTAGACAAAGAATTGGCTAAGAAACACATAATGATATTTTTTTATCAATTTTCTCTTGAGCAAGAAAATCAAGAGATATGGGTAGTCTCCTTGAAAGGAATATTCGATCTTTTACTTATGTATGGTTTCGAATATTTTGATATATTGCAATCCCCAGAAGAGAATTCCATGGAGAATAGATCTGAAAAGACTCGCTCGCTTTATACACATGAGGATAGTAATATTTCTATAAGTAAGCGGGCTGAAGTGGAGGAAGGCCCTTGTAATTTCATTAAAATCTTAACAGGATTGCTAACCAACGCGGTAAATAATAATATCTTTGAATTTCTAAAATTGAATAAAATGTCTATGCAGCAAATTATGTTTGAAAATTTACAGAATCAAGATTTACGCACTATTGCAGCGGAAGGGCTCTGCAAATTATTGCTTAACCAACGAATCAATAGCAGTAATCTAATATCGCGTTTGATAATTATGTGCTATAATCCAGTCAACGCCGATGACATCTATCTTCGTCAATGTTTGAGCTCTTTTTTTGACAATTTTATAACGTCCGAGGCACAAGAAATGCTCGAAGGCGCATACTTTCCGACATTACAAGTTCTTTGTAACGCACCGGATATTAGCCCTTTACGGGAGATTAATGCGTATCACATATCTAGATTTATACTGAGCTTAACTAGACGAGGATGTCAGAAAACCAACGGACAAACGTTTTATACGCACAACAACCTTGCGTTTGCTATACTGGCTGAGATCTTAAATCCAGAGAGCAAGATAGATAAAGAAATTCTTATTAGATCTTTGACAAATTTATCCATTCAAATCGAGGATGATCTGTCAAAACAAAATCTGCAAAGAGCTATCAAAAATGTCACGAAAATGGTATGTCAATTCTTTTCATATTTCTGTATCAAATCTTTCATATAGTTTATTAATTACAAAAATATTTATATTTTAAATACATATTTTGCTGATGTGATATACATGTGTATTAACTGCGATTTAACATCTGATGGCAGGTGATGAAATACGACAAACGATTGCTCAAATATGTTCAGCAATTCACACAAAAATTAGATATGGTTTCTGAAGGAACGGAAATTGATGAGGAGAGCGACAATGAAAACGAAGATTAAATAACGCACAATTTGTAAATACATATATACAGTTTGAATTTTGATATAAATTTATATTTTGCATCTAATAATATGCACTTATGTATTTGTTATTTTCTAATTCCGAAAATTTCGAAAATATTAAAATGGAAAAAAGAAGAAATTAACATCGAAATGTTTATAGAGTAAATAGTTTACAATATATGTATAATGTATATGTACATATATTTTAGATTAGAAAATTTTTTTACATTTTAAATAAATTTAATGTGATTATAGTGCTCATTTTAACATAGAAAAGAAAAGGACATCATGTTTGGTCTCTTGTTAAATTCTATCTAGGAATTATTTAAACTTGTTTAAAAAATTAACAAAGTAGACGAAGTAAAGTATGTAATTTCACGTAATAATACAGTAATTAATTATTTAACGCCTTAACTTTTTATTTTCGAAATTGTTGAATTTTGATGACTGTGTTGTCTCGTATGTGTGCATATGTTTATTATGTGCCGCGCATGCGCCAAAAGACCGGGAACCAATGAGCCTTCTACAAACAGCGACGATCGATACTTCAGTTCCGATTCGGACCACAGATGGCAGGAGTTATCTAAATCGTAAATGAACTCAATGCTCATTGGAAAAAAAAAGAACTCAATGGAAGCGTAGTCTACAGGACAATAGGATATGCGTATGTATGTATATGTATATGTACATACATACTATTCTAATATATTGTAAATTGTAAAATCCTAAATTTTAAGAATTCTCGGAATCTTGTTTTTTTTTAATTCTCGGAATTTTATATAGCGCGATCTCCTTACCGATTATGTATATATTATATCCTGATACTTTGTCGTTTTTTAAGATGCTGAATTTTCGCGAATCTAAATGAGCTATATCTTACGGAAATCTGTAATTTCATAATATAATATAATGTACCGCGCCGATATGTGTCATTACATCGAGGCACGATTTATGATTCTCCCCAAAACACACTCGTCAAAATTACGCGGCATCGCTGCGTAAAAACTGACGATGGTCCGCTTAGCGGCTTAGGCTCTCCCTGTTAATACGTTCGCGAGCCATGGCACCAAGGCCTTCCGAATAATCCCAGTAAGTGTCGTTCATTCTTAATTGCATCGATCTTCGGCTTATTGCCGGAACTGTTTCCTCGCGTAAACAATATACCTATGGCTTCGACAAATTTACAAGCTCACTCGCGTGAGCGTTTTCTCGTTTCCGTCTTTCCAAAACTATCGAGATCGCGGCGACCGCGACATTGATATCACGAATTGCACGTCACGGACGTAAATAGAGACGACGAAAGATCATCTATTATTCTATTCTTTTCGCGGAATCCATTATCTGATGTTTGAAATCAACGGGTGTTGTTCAGGTTTGTCAATAATGCATAACACAGTATAGTCTGGAAAGAAACTGACGCCTTCGTAATTCCATAAAATAACATTCTTCTATTTCCAGATTAGGAATTGTTTTTGATTCTTTCAGTAGGATAAAATATTAATATAGGAATTGATGTCTGTTAATTTATTTATGAGTTTGTATGCGGCTATGTAATCTTCAAAAGGATTTCCTTCAATATTTATTTATTATTGCGTATTATTATATGTATTGTGTAAGGAAGTGCTGTTAATTGTCAGTTTCTTTAATTGTGGTTTTTATTTTTGAAACAATTTATGTTATTAGCGCTATTTACTCGCCGCGAGAGGTCGGTTCATCTTTGATGAAGGATGACAAGATGAGTAACGCACAAAGGAGATGCGTGTGTGATTCATGAAAACATCGCAGATGTATTACATTATTACAGCAACGAAGTAAATAAAGATTATAGTTTCACAAGTTTCGTAAATTTTTAAGAATAAAATTTTGGCAACAAAATTACAGAAATAATTTTTACAAAACTTATTATGTTAATTCAGAAATGTGTATGTGTTAATTAAAGATTACAATTTATTTATTGAATTGTTTCCAGTATAATATCAGAACTTTTTGCCATCATATATTTTCGTTTGTAAGGTTTCTTTGAAAATGTTGCGGTCAAAAGTTCTTCTGTAATTGATTTTATATTTTGTAATAATCATAAAATTTTCTAATTTTAAAGTCGAGACAATGGCTGCATTCAGCATCAAAGAAAACTGTTTCGCAACAGTTGTAAAATTTGTAAATCTGATTGGTGTATGTTTTTAATTTCGGCCTTTTCGGCCGAAGCTAAGGGTTTACATACACGATACACCGATCAGTTTAACGAATTTTACAACAGTTGCAAAAAGTATCTTTCTGTAGCTGATTGCTGAACGCAGAGTGACGCAGGTCGCAGAGCCGCCAGGGCCAGGGGCCAGGGGGTCCCGGAACAGTTTGTACACACTGGCACGCGACATTTCATCTATCAGTCGTCAGAGTGCAGGGCAGTCAGTGAGTCAGTGTTTAGCAACATGGCGGGCGTGTTGTTCGAGGATATTTTCAACGTGAAAGATATCGATCCGGAGGGCAAGAAATTCGACAGGGGTGAGTCTATATCAGAGTTTACATTTCGACGTGTTCGTGTTTCGACTTGCCGCGGCGACTTGCGCGCACCATTTTCATTGCCAGAATGACAGTGTCTCTCGCGACTCGCGAGCTGTCCTGTCCGACGTCCGACCTTGCCGATAGCGCCGGCACGACGAGCACATGGCACATGGTTAACAGCTGAGTACTTTCGATTGCTCTCGATCTCACAAAATCTCTCAAACGAATCTTATCCGCTCCACCTCCGTTCCACTCCGCTCGCTATCACGGCCGATGGCTACGCAATGTTAATTAACTTAGCTTCTTATTGCTAGTGATTAACTGGCATCGAGTGTCATAAACAGGCCATAAACATGTAGAATAATTTTAAACCCTTTTCCTCCCCTTAAACAGGGAATACTCTTCTTAATCGAGGAATACGCGGGATGAAGGTCGGGATCAAACTGATCGAACCACGGACCTGTCACCCTGTCAGTGGTACATTCATTCACGGACACGCGGAGAAAGAGAGAGAGAATGTGTCATTCTAAATAAAAAGTAATCTCGCGCGCGATGCTGATCCTGCTCCTATTCGTCGATGGGCACAGTTGAAAACCGGCGCATCAGTGGCGTGTTATTTGAACACAGACAATAGCGGCTAAATAAGTGATGGAATTCATAGATAGATATTGTAGTTTTGCTATTTCTCTCTCTCTCTCTCTCTCTCTCTCTCTGTCGAAAATATAAAATATGTACACGGAATTTGTTTTGCCAAAGCTTTTCAACGCTCTTCATGATTTTCAATGTTCCTTATGAAGTAAAGATTCAATTCCAGAGAGAGATTTTGATTCTGTAGATATTGAAAACGATCGGCTAATTATTTCTTCAAATATGATTCTCGTTTGGAAAATTTCGGTTTTGATTTAAAAAACGATATTACGACTTATCGTTATTTTTGACAAGACCTGCGTCCGTTTTTTTCCTTCGTCCCGGAAGACATTTTTAAATCGGCGCGTTTGCGTACGACAGGTGTCGATACCTCCGCGTACTCATCTCGAAGGACCTCGCGGCCCTGATAACGTGGCCTTTCCGCTCTACGTTTTTGCCGCTCGCTCGTGGACCACGAGAGAGTGGAATTTGCAGAGCGACGTAGATCGGAGGAGGCGACCATGACCGAATTCTCTGCCGGAATATATTGGATCTTCTGTGGCTGTGTGTACTACGCCCTATCAACTTTGCCGCATAAAGATTATCGATGTATTAAATGACTTTTTTTTATAATCGACGTGTATTTCGAACAATATTTGGCAGAATGCTTCATTGAGAAAAAAATTGTTTGGTTTGGTACGGTTGACATTAGGATATTCGTCATATTAATTGTGTCTTTGAGATGAATAATTGATTTGAATAATTTGAAAAGTGATATATATTTTGCACGACTGACATATATGCAGCTGTATAAAAAATTTAACATTGATGTGTTTTCATACACGCATACTTTTGCTACACTTAATATTTTTTTCTCGAAATATATAATTCTACAAATAGTTGAGAAGAAGTAAAAGCACTCGTTGTTGATCATGTCCCCTTATTACTCTTATTAGAATCGTGCAAATTGCCATTAATTATGACGTTATAACATAATAACATAAAAATCGTAAGAATACATTACATAAATAGAACTTGAACAATTGAAAGAAACAGAGGACGGGTGCAATGGCGTAGTCATTTTCAATTGAGATAAAGATAATCCAAATTATGTCTACGAAAGTTCTCCAGTTGCCCGTAATCTAATGGTTATTTCTGCATGTACAGTTAAAAGCATTTCAGTACAGCTAAAATCCTAAATCTCTTCTCATGTTCAATATACATTATAGAACAACACAGAACTACGATACAAAATCGGTGTGATTGCTATCTCCGATTTAGATAACCCAGATTGTCAGCGACAGGTCCATTCGCGTACGCTCTTCCTCCCATTACCCTCTTCGTCTCTTTCTCTCTCCGCGTCATCTTTCATTCCGCATTCGATAAAACACGCTATTACCATATACGGTATATATCGACCAGCGAACGCTCCTCTCCGATTGTGAATTCCAAGTCGATAATTGGGTAGTGCCCATCGCTGGCTGACGAGCGACGAGCGAGCGTAAAACGAGAATGCCAAGAGCGAGGAGACAGGAGAGCGGGAGACGTCTCTCCTCTCTTTTTCTCTCTCACTCTCTCTTTCGTGAGGGATGGAACCGGGTGCTCGCGCTTACGACCGGTCGATGCAGCGAGGATGCCCGCAGCAGCAGCAGCAGCAGCGCCGAGCAACACGGCACTCACGTAATATGACGCTGCGTTGCTGGGCTGAAGAGAGAGAGAAAGAGAGAGAGAGAGAGAGAGAGAGGGAGAGAAAGGAGACAACGAGGATAGCGAAACCGCGTTGCGCGAAGTGCGGAGATCTGTGAAGCAGCCGGGACGCGCGAGTTACTCTGGTGGGGGTTGACACGGTCAAGGTCAGCCTCGGTTCTAAGGTCGTGGGGGGATGTCATCTCAGAAGGGGGAGCCTCTGAATAATACTCCCGTCTCTTTTTCTCGCTCGCTCCCTCCATTCCATCGTCTCTTTCTCGTTTTTGTGCGTTTTTGGCTTCGCTTTCGGATCAAGTCGTAAAGCGAGGACGAGCGACGAGCATCCTCCGTCTTTCTTTCTTCTGCTTTCGTTTTTCTTTTTTTTTCTTTTACGTTTGTGTGCGTGTCAGCTTGGACTCGTCCGTCCGCCGCCGACTGATGGAAGAGCCGTCTTTATTTCTTCATCTCGCGAGCTTTTCTCGCTTGGCCGGTACGAGGAACGCGCGAAATTCCGTTTCGCGACCATAGCGACGAGATGTAGAATGTTCTTTACACTCATACGAATTAAACGAGTAAATTAAGTAAAATTAATCTACAAAAGGTATCACTTTGTGTCTTTTAAAAAAAAAGCATTGGTTCAACATTGTCACAATGCTATTAATGTTATAAAAAAGTATAAAACGATGTAACGCAGTCCTGGTGCTTTAATCATCATTGTTGGATTACTGTTTCAAATGATTCGCAATAGTAATCAATTATTATTCATTCTCTTCGCTTTAAATATCTTAATTACTTTGATTACTGAATGGAAAGTGAAGCATTTCATTCATAATTTGCATCTTAAGATCGTAGGAAGCTTGATTATGTCTCCGGTACATTCGGGAGATGCAAGCTACGCGCTAATTTTTAAATCGGTTTTTAAATTTCATTGCTTTGGGGATAAGTCCATATGGATCGAGTGTAATCAGGTCCTGGCTATACCACACACCTGTCTTTATCCGCTCGAATCTGTTTCCGAGTGATCATTAAGGCAAACGGTCGTTCAAAGAGGTTCCTGCATACATTTCTACAAATATATCGCTGTTATAAATTATACATATGTATATAAACCAATTTTTAAATTAAGAGAGAGGCAAATATATAAGCAAATTATTATTTTATTAAATGTAAATAGCAAATAAACTATAATGTTCATTGTATAAATTGATCTTTGAGTTAAATTATCTTTTCTATTTCGATCGTTAAGATAGTGGGAATAATTTACTCAGGAAACTCAAGCAAATCGCCGATGAGCGATAATAATTTCCTCGTTCTCTCCAAGAAACGTGTGTTCTCGGTGTGTATGTTATTTTTAGATCCAGAAATTCATCACGTGCACGTACACAATGCGATGCGTAACCAAATTCTACGAACGACGCAAAGATTATAGTTTTGACTTTGAAAATTTTTGGTCACGCTTATAAAATTACAGTTCTGTCGATTCACTTTTGCACTCTAATAAAGTTTCTCACCTATTATATTTTTTATCTACGTATTATCAAAATTATAACAAGTATTAACGAACACAGATGTGCCTAAGATGTTTGACCGTTACATATTATCCCGTTCATCCGCACGTTACGTGTTTACATTTGCTGGCAATGCAACATGCGTAATAATAACTAGAGTTTGCCATATTCTTATTGTTTGTCTCTTTGAGTACATCAGCCGTTGAAATATGTATGTAGACAGTTATTAAGTTGGCGTTATTTTGACGCGAGCATTATTAGGGAGTGTGGCACGAAGGGGAAAAGAGTTAAAAAGAGGATTTGTAAAAAAAAAGTGAAATGTATATGAGACAGGACCATTTTATAAAACGTTTGGAATATAGAGTATGTATATAGTTTGAAAGTGAGTATGTATATATTAATAAAGACGGGAACGATAAAATCTCTCTTTGAATGATTCGGCAAAGTTATTTAAATATTAAATAACGTAAATAAAAATTAATAGATTTGTGCACACTGTTCCAAGCAGCCAAAGTGTAGAAGTTTTCCCACGGCTGAAGTAGCGAGAACTGACTTTCTAATTAGTTTCTATACACAAAATATAATTGATTAAGGATATGTTACAATGTACAGTATATAATACATTCATCAGCATGCAGCAGTATAATACATTGTTAGCATAATTTTCGCCAAGTCGTAGAAATGTAGAAGATTCATGCGCGAAGTAACTATGGTTGAGAACTATAATAATCGAATACATTGAATAATTGTATACGGTTAGATCCTACTTGAAATTCTAAATCAAATGCTTTACAAGTACCGACAAATAGTCCGATATTAACGCTTTGGGTATGATTGAGCTGGACGCGCGTACGTACAGCTCGTACCAGTTTGACCATGAAAATTTGACTAAAAAACGTGAACGTTCGTTCGATGAAACAAACGCAGATTAAAACAATTGAAAATATTCTTGCCTGACAGTGACAAAGTGTCAAGGCACAGAAAAGATCCACTATAGTAACGTTTTGTCCTAAAATAGTTAAAGGGTTAATGCTGGAAATGACGTGATAAATTTTGAATATCTCGAGGCGAGATATTTAAGTATTATATATAATATATAAATATAACAAACATGAACGCGTATCTTGAAATCCATTTCGATGTTTCAAGTTTTGCGACGTGCTGCACCGGGACGACTTTTGACCGCGCGCTAATGATTTCTTTAATGATCCAATTAAACGTAAGTGCTGCTAAATAATTAGTGGCTAAATCTTCATCGTATTATGGTGGTTTATGGTGGTAACACATAAAATATAATATACAAAAGAATTATGTCCGTGGAATCCGTGTATACTTAACGAAGGTTTATTCTCGACATTATTTTTGTGTGTGATTATAACTCCGATTACCCTTTTCATAAATCCGCCAATAATAGCCCCCTAGTTATCGATGTCGATGTGTCACGATTATTACGAGATACTTTCTTGAGAGATCGATTAAAAATTTCATGAACAATAATACATACAAAATATACATCTATTTCTCGATCATTTCAATACATACGTTTATTCGCGCTTTATTTAAATAAATATTAAGTAGACTAGTAATTTTTTTTACGTTTCTTTTTGTCTCTTCACGGTTTAAATATCGAGGAGAAGAAACGAGGGTTCGCAATTCGTCATTCATCATTCGTTTCGTACGCGTTCTTTATTTCACTCGGCTCGTTTCTTCGTTCCCGGTTCCTTTTCTCCTTGTCCTGGCTACGACGAGAGTGAGTCACGGAAAAAAACGGGGAAAGAAAACGTGCACCGAAGACGAAGGCTCTGTTCCTCCTCGTTTGCTCGACGATTAGTTCGTTTGTCAGATTAAATGGATACAGTGCTTCGCATTGTCCGATGTGTGTCTCAAGAATTGTTCCATTTTCCCTTATCTACACCTGAGGCATTGTTACGTAATCGAGAATCTTTTTTTCTCGAGTATTCATCCGAATATACATCACGTTTCAAATTTGATGGAAAATACACAAATCATATATCTATTGTTTAAATTTAACATTAACCTTTTTCTAGCGAGATTTCTGTAAACTAAAAATTCCAATGAAATCTCTCTCTCTCTCTCCTCTCTCTCTTTCATTAATAAATCTTATAATAAAAGGCTAATGTTCGTAGAAATTACCTTAAAATTGAGCAAGCATAATTATTTTTGTTAATTCGTGGGAAAAAACAAGTCGTTCTCACTGAGAAATATCAATATCTCGACCTTTTTATTAGGTGAAACGTAGGCGTTAAAGTTTTCCATTAAATGTCAATTTAAATAGTGGACGAAAATTGTACGGCGTGGTGCTGTATGAACGCTTGATTAACATGAGCTGCATCTAGTTAGGCTTACGCTATATATTATATCTTATTGATCTGGAATTCTAGAGTATCTAGACTCTAGATGCTTATGCTTTTATGTAACTTTGTGCGCGCGATCGGCTTAACAAGATCGGACTCGATGGCGAGTCGAATCGATGCCGTTATCGAAGTAACGGCATGAAACGAGGCGGTAACCGTATGAAGATTGGCCGAACGTTTATGCATGATAAAATGCAACGCGTCGTGCCGCACCGTGGCTAGAATCGCTGGTCGTTATTATACCAAGAGACTAAGCTATTATATTTCAAAATCTGAATAAATTACTCGCCAACTATGTCAAGTATGGATTTCTATTGTCAGCAATGTCAGCATATATCATGCCCGATTGGAATATGAATGAAATTTTGCTTATTTTATTAGCGATCGCGACCAGGCAGGTAGATATTGCTTTTAATTGTCGTCTCTATTTCAGAGATCATTTCGTGATCGTGACGAATGTTTTTCGAAAGTATGGTTTCGAATGAAAAAAATTATTCAGATTTCGCATAGTATAGTATATGCTTAGAGTACACTATATAGGTCTTGTTGCATTAGGAAAAAAGGTAGATTCGCGCGGCAGGACCTCCGGGCGTCATCCGGCGATCGCCGGACCAATTTTCTCCACTGTAGCCTTCTGAAACAGCAGCAGCAGCAGCAATAGCAATAGCAGAAGCAATAACAGTAACAGTAACAGCAGCAGTGTCGATGGCGATGGCGATGGTGGTGCCGGCGTGAAGCGAGCGGCGGATGTGCAGTATGTGCACGAGAGTAGATAAATGCGCGAGATCGCGATTGGCCGCGGCGGCACCGTTCAACCAATCAGCGTGCGCGGCCGCGAGTTTCGCGCGCGCGGAGCCGGTACTCCGGACTCCGGTTATCCGGTGGTACCGCGCCGGCCGCCGCGCGGTCGAGGCTGGTCGAGGCCGACTTGGCCAGTGTCGAGTGGCGTCGAGGTAACGCGCGAATCGGTGAGAAAAACTGACCGATAGATTTGTATGTAAGTACGTTACGAGACGCGCGGGGCGCTCGCAAATCAAGAATACGCGTCGCGGCTATCGGATGGGAGAAATGCGACACGTGGTTGTTTCATAACGATGCGCGATGGCGAGAGAGTGGACACGGAGCATTCGAATTCAAACGGAGCGAGCGAGCGACCGCGGTGAACGGGACGAGAAGGTGAAGTTCGCGATAGCGAGAGCGGGGGAAGAGAGACAGAGAGCGCGAGCGCACGATGGAGGCCGTTCGCAGATCAGCGAGGAGGACGGAAGAGGGGAACGGTTGGGTGGCTCCCCCTCCCCTCGGGAGGGGGGGAGCAAGAGGGAGAGTACCCGGCTGCCTTCAGTTTGGCGTTCGGTGTTGCTAGGCGCGAGCAGACGCGAGGCGCGAGGGTTACTCCGGCCACTGTCAGTGCCAAGGCGGCAGCCGGCAACCTTCTCTCGACCGCGAGAATCGAGAATCGAGCCAAACGGCAAACTCGCCTTTCTTTCTCGCCTCGAATTCGGCGAGTGTCGTGTCCATTGGTTTTCGCGGCTTTCTTTCTCTTCCTATCACCGTCTCTCCTGATCTCTCCAGCCCCGATGGATTTTCGAGAACGTTCCTCTCGCGAGCGAGCAGCGCGGCGCGGTGCGGGCGCCTGGTTGTCGAATGTCGAATTCGCCAGCACTGGCCTCCAGAGTCAGGCTTTCGTTCGTTCGCTCGCTCGCTCTCGCTCTCGCTTTCGGTCTCGGTCTCGGTCTCGGTCTCGGTTACGTCCGCGTAGTCGGTGTGTGCGTGCGTGCGAAAGGGAACTGACAATGAGCGTGAGCAGAGACACGCGAATCACGGGATGCTTGCGGCGAATATACGAGATACGACGCGACGCGCGTCGGCGCGTCTCCCTCGTCAACGATCGGCAATGATGGTCTTCGATTAACGCACGGCGCGGCACCCCGGCAGTGAGTATCTCATTTGATTCTTTTTATTTACGTTACGAACCGATGTCGATCGTTTCCGTTTTTTGCATTCGATACATTGTCGATACATTGTCACAATGCTTTATTTCAACGAAGCTTTCCGACGAAGGATATTGCTAATTGTCTTTTATAATATTTTCTGGCGTATTATACATACGTGTATGGTGTGTGGGGCAATTGACGAAATTGTAGCTCGCTCCTACGTTAATCGAACGAAAGGCGAAAATATTCTGCGGAAATGTTACCAATATTTGCATTTGTTATGAGCCAGATGTTAAGGATGTAAAAACTAAGGAAGTAAAAAGGAAGTAAAACAAGGAGCACAAGTATTCTCATTAACAATGACACGATGAAATATGGAACTTGTCAAGTTATGATGGATTTGGTAATGCATTGCGTGTGACGTCGCAATCGATACCTTGTGTATATATATATATATATGTGTGTGTGTGTGTGTGTGTGTGTGTGTGTGTGTGTGTGTACATATATAAATATAAAAGACTTTTGGGCTTAAAATGACTTATCTTTATAAAAATTCTTTTTTGTAACTAAATAATATTTACACAGGATTGATGAAAATTAAAAGAAAAGAAAATAAAAAACGTAAAGACAAATGTGAATATTTTAGGAGAGCTACAAGAGTAATTTTCAAAGCGATTTTCGTAGCAATATGGTTCCGGGAACTTGAACGCTATACGTTCTTTTTTAAGTCAAATACGCTGAATAGACGAGCTACACAGTTTTGTGAATAGAACATATAGAGTGATACGCAGATTGGATATGGTTTTAAAAAATCGCCCGCAAATTGAATCGTATATTAATAAAGAAAGATTACATCAACGTCTCGAGAACGGTTGTATTTCGACTTTGATAAGTTGGACGAAAAAATTTCACATTGCGTTTTGTTTTCGATTTAAACAAAACATATGTAAGTCAAGTAACTTTTACTTGGAAGTCGCGACATAATATTAGTTTTTCCAGTCAGACCAAAATCATTAATCAGTAATTATCCGTTATAAAGTTTGAGAGAGAATTACTTACGACTTATACGAGACGTCGTTAGATCGCCGTTTTTGTTGCGCGACGTTCTGTCTTTGCGGCGAGCGTAACCGAATGATATTTTCTTCCTTATTTGCGTTTCTGAGTCACCCGCGTGTCTGGTGGTTATCTATTCACGCGATCCGCCGCCGCCGACGCGCACTTGTGTGTTGCCGGTTATTTATTCGAACGTATGTAACACCGAACACGAAAAATGCTAGTGTTCTCACCTCTGCTCTGCTCTATGCGGGTAATTTCAACGAATAACAAATAACGTTGATAGAGAATATTATTGGATACTTAGAGATTGAATACTTACGTATACTTATCACGAGAATAAAAGTCAAAATTTTTATTTTTACTGCCTTTTTTTATCTATTTGCATTGCGTGTTACGTAAAGGTTATTCTACATAGAAGTCGTAGTCGTGAGTTGTAAGAAATTGACCAATCACATTCGAAGTTGAGGAGAATATTCAATCTGTGATTGGTCAATTTCTTACAACTCACGACTACGACTTCTATGTAGAATAACCTTAAGGGGATGCTGGAGCCGTCTGTTTTACCGGCATTTTTTGTCGGCACGTAGCGTCGTATTAATTTGACAGAATTAAAAATCTTTCTCCAGAATTGCAGTACATACATTAATGATTCGGGGAAACTCTGATTTTATATAGAAAACGAGAAAAAATTATGGAAGTACAGATTTCCTTATCCTACTTTTATCCCAATATGGCGTCTCGAGTTGCGGCGAGCTGTCAGCTCGTCACAAGATGTATTTCATATAAGAGATATACCATTGGTACGAACGCGAAAACAAGTTCCCCCGAATTGCACAACAAGAAAAACATCGATAAACCCTCCAAATCAAGATTTGGAAGCGTAATATAAAAGTATAATGTCGACGTGCATCGTGCGTATGTGTGCGTGCAATGTAGCGTGCTATTCTTGTCTATATCTTTGTCTATACAAGGACAGATATAGTTCGCCGGTCTTCTTTACCGACGCCGATCGAGTTCGAAAAAGGTTTGAAAAGGAAAGAAGTTTGAAAAAGGTAAACACGTATCGATATACTCGTAAAATTTGGAATTAATTGTTTTCAATACATCTAATTAGAATAAAGTTAATCTATACAAATATAAATTAATACTTATATGTATAAAAATAAAAATGTCAGATTAGTAACAGAAGTAAAGAGAAAGCACGTGTCGTGAATAATTATAATAAAATTAATTGGAGTATAATAAATAAATTTAACGAAACTAGGACTGATATATTACGCGAGATGAGAAATCGTCATTTTTCAGCGATGTTCCTAATAAATATCTATTGATGAAACAAAATCTCTCTCGTCATTTCTTTAGTTTGGCTGTGACAATTCTTCAGAGAATAGACAATAGATAAAAGCAAGAAATTCTGTAAATATTTAGAACGCACGATTAAATTTCGCGTCGAGCATAAATTCTTCGCGAATGTATTGATTAAACTATGGTGCGATTTCTGCGGATGCCAATCAGGTGGCCGGGCTCGTTCATCTCGTGAGGGGTATGCATGTCGATAACAGAATATCGTTGAATGTGCCGCTTACCAATTCCACTACACCTATCTTTTAAATAGGTTCGCTCGAGCCAGGGAACATCGAAGGGCCATTGTTTAAATCGCAATTCTCGCACGTCTCTTCTCTAATCTATATTTGACATTACGAGGATCAAAGAAAATCCTTTTTTTTTAACTTTTCGACTTTCCGTTGACTGTTTCAAATTGCAACGATAAATGCAATAACAATATATATATATATATATATATATATATATATATATATAACACATATATCACAGGAATAATTTTTATATAAGAAAGATATATGGCTTTAGATATATCGGGAAAGAGTGAGTATATATGTGTTTCTTTTTTTTGGACGACGTCAAGGACTATCATGTTTTACAATTTTACATTGAAATAAACGGCTTTCAATTGCCTAACATAGGTACACGAAATTACATTCACAATCAGACAGTGTCCTTCCTAGGCTCGATTCTATCCGATTGTCAAAATATAGATATATACTTACATGGAGGCTTATTTATTCAATAAAATGAGGAAAATATAGCGTGAAGAATAGATTTTAATACATTATATTTTGTTCTATAATTCCCACATTTAATTACTCGCTAATCATTTTTTATTGTCTTAACAAGTTTTTCTACTAGTCATATAATTCTTATTTTAATTTTCTTTCAAGATGAAAATGATAAAAAAACTCTTCGATAGTAAAACTCTTCGCGCGATAATTTTTTAAGATTATTGATATATACGTAAATTTTATTTCCAAACATTTTAACGTCAATAAATTTTTACTTAATAGTTTTACCGTTTGAATCTCTGTAAACTTTCGAAATCGAAATCATCAAGTACTTACTCTTCTCTGGCATAGCACGAGTAATTCTCGTATAACTGTATTGGTTTATAAAGAGAAATTCTAAAAATATCGAGTATTATGAGTGATTTTGTTCATTTTGATCAATCGATTCCGAGCTAAGCCGTGACCGCGCCACCGCACCACCAACACCGCCGCGGCCGCACCGCAAAGATATGACATAATCGAGCGTCGTTTCGGCTACATTTTTTCTTTGCACGTGGCGCGATTTGAAAGACCGTTCCCCCCCCCCTCCCCACCTTGTCTGAGATCGGTCCCTCGGGCGGTTGACCTTGAAACCAGCTGACAAACCGAGGAAGACGAACGAGGAGAAGGCGGAAGAGAATTGCGCAACGCTTCGAAATATCGTGATTTTGAGACTGGCCATCAAGATCCTCGTGTAGTCTCTTTGTCTCTGGTAGAGAAGTAAATATTGTCGAGTCTAATGCAACGTGTGTAAAACTATAATAAATGTAGATTCCTGTATTTTTGTCTTCTAAGATTAGTTTATTGCTATTAATCGAAATTAAAGACATCGTCAAAAATATTTCGTCAGAAAGTCGAAACAACTTTGACTCTTATATATTCTTGAAAAGATAATATTATACAATAAGTATATTCCGGAATCATTGAGATTCTTAACACTGCGCGGACACCGTGGGCCTTTTACGGCTCCTGATGGTGAGAACTCTGCGTTGACGGTGGCGACGTCACTCTCTCCTCTCACTCTCTCCAATGGAGAATTCTGTCTTGTGACATGTTGACAATCTATTTTGTTGTGCGTGCTATTTCTTTATTATTTGCTCTGTGCTTGTGCTCTAACGTTTAACGTATTCGTGAAAGTCGTAAAATTGGCCGAAAAGTAAGATTTGCATGCGGAAGGAACGTTTTCACCTCCTTTCACAGTCGTTAAACGGCTGTTTTTCCCGTATGTTTAGGCTTCGTTTTATGGCTGTTTGTTTATTGTCGAGGGAAAAGGGTAGTTTTTGGCCAATTTTGGAAGTGTTCTGAAACGATCTATAGTGATGTTTTATTGAAATGTCTTTTTATTTGAAAATGGCATGCACAACAAAATTGGGTGTTTTCCTCGCCTCGATAGTAATAAGAATCCAATATGGCCGCGGTGACTACCCAGGAGCCTTAAGGTACAGTCGATTTTTTATTTATTACTCCCACGGGAAGGGCTTCAGCGCTTTTGGCAAAAAAATTACAACATTTTCAGCCTCTGTAAGTATAAAAATCACTTTTTGAAACCTTAAAGATGATACATGAATTTTTATAGATTTTTTGTAACACAGAAACGCTTTCAAAAACCCTTTAGACTTAAAAGTATCCCAGGATGTCTGGGCGAGTGTTAATCACAAATTCAAATAGGTTTTTCATCAACAAAAGTTCAAAATGTCTTAACAAAATGCCATTATTTATCAGAATTCTTTAATTACTAACTAAATTTATAAGTTATTATTTATATATTATGATTAATATATACGTTACATTTACATCTTGAAAATTAAGTGTATTAATTACTAC